CCTAGGTTACTCATACTTTATGGGAAATAAAATGATGCCTTACACCTCCCAATAATGCAAAAGCATATCCAGGCAAAACTGAGACATCAGGTGATAACAGGCTATCATGACTATGAATGTAGAACAAGATCATTTTCACTACCTCAGTAAATCAAATAAAGTGTATGCAGTGTACAAATAACTCCTTTTTCTTTGTACAGTCTTAAAAGATTTAATATAATCTTTGTTTGAGACAGATTTCTAAAGAGAAATCCTGCATATCTACAACCGACACAATTCAGTGTTGTCATTCAAGCATCATTTGTGCTATTTATGGGAAGGTGATTTAAATACTGTTGTGCTTTATATAAAACAGCACCCTAAATGCATATATTACCTCTGTTTCAATTGTGCAGTTATGTTGAGTTTTCCATCATTGCTACACACAACTGACAGAATCACATTGCTGGACTTTGTTTCAGAGTAGTAAACTCCATTTATGTTTTCATGTTCATTGTTTTTCTTTCTTAAGTAGGAAAGCCCATAAATACAGATCATATTGGAGATAACAGCATCAGTTCTGGAAATACTGGAGTTATATTAGTTCTCACTTGTAACTTGTAAAGCCACAATATTTATGGAAATAGTGTATGGAAACACAATTCCTTTAACTACTTACTTCCTCTTGGTTTCAGTCTGAATGTTTCATCATTTTCTTTCTGTCAATATTTTTGTTTCTGACCTTTTATTCCTGCATCAAGTAAACAGCACTGGCAACCACGGTGATTCAAACCCTGCTCTTAATAAAGTCAGTGAAATGGCTTTTAGCAACTTTGTCCTTGCTTTTTCTCTAGCACATCATGAGTGATACAATGACACTAAAAGCCCCTTTTCTGTGGTTTAAATTTGTTACAGTTACTTTAAAAGCAGCGTAACACCTAACATCTACTAGCCGGTTTTCATACACTTGTAAAAATAACTTCATCAGAAGTTACTTGTATATATTTGAGAATAAAGTGTTTTATAGAATGTTAAAGTTACATGTCGAACTGTTTTTTGGAGAGAAGTCAGGTGAATTAAAATACTTTACTCCACAATTAAATGGATTAAGGACTTTTCCTTTATGGAAAGGAAAATCAATTAGTACTTCAGATGAAGATGTCACTTACTATAAGAAGCACTAAAAAATTCTGCATATCAACACCTTAATGAGTTATTTACACTTCCTCTTCAGCTAATAGAGTTAAAGTTTGAAAAGTTTGATGTGGAGAGAGACAACTACTGCAGATATGACTATGTCGCAGTGTTTAATGGTGGGGAAATCAATGATGCTAAAAGAATTGGGAAGTACTGCGGCGACAGTCCACCAGCGTAAGTAACTTGCTTGAATTATGAACTTCACTACCGCTATGTGTCATTTTGCTAACAGCCCTGTACTAGGCTTCCAAAAGATTTTTCTTCTTTCTTAAATTAAATACGGCATTTTCTACCCCCTTACCAAGATTCTTTTGCCCTAATATTCCTTCCTCTTTCTAAAAACTATGGTTTTGCTTGAAAAAATTTTGTTAATAATTATTAATGAATAGCAAGACGAGGTCTGTGGAAAGCTCACAAGATTGAGAGAAGTGCTGCTTTGGCTAGACTTGCATTCCGTACAATTTTCTCTAACAGTAGTCTTGAATGAAGTCTCATCGCACTACATCCACATCCAGAGGCAGTTTGTGCCACAGAATGTACTCTGCAGTTTATGAACTGAAAACTAATACATTGAACAGTGTTGTTCATGACATTTCAAATCCTATGAAGATAACTCCATTAGCTCTTCAAGGCCTTGGTAATGAATATCCAATCACTGACCAAAACTGAGCCCACAGAAATAATAAAATAATAACCCAAAACATTTTATTTCAATGTCTTTCTCAAAGAATTACAGTATCCAACACTGAACTAATTTTCTTAAGGCCTTCCAAATGCATAACAAAAACAAATTAAAAAACCCCAACATGTACTCACCTCCACTAAATATTGAGGATTTCTTCCATGTATTTTCCCACTGTGTTAATTGAGCCCCTTCCATTCCATGGAAGTGAAGTCTGCAATTAAGTCACGTAGAAGAAATTAAAGATATTCATATTGACGTAACCTTCGGGAATCAGAGGTTTAGATGATTCATCAGAATGAATTTCACACTCAAAACACCAGTGTCTGACATGCCAGCAAAGAAATATGTATTTCAGTATTGTCTGGGGGCAGATAGTGCATTCAGACAAATAATTAAAATGAAGTGCACTCTCTTTTTTTTGTAAGAATGCTCTTAATGTTTTTTGGCTTCGATGTTCAAAACAATGGAAATATTGTATTTGTTTTTCTATTTCAGGCCTATTCTGTCTGAAAGAAATGAGCTGCTCATTCAGTTTTTGTCTGATTTAAGCTTAACAGCTGATGGTTTTATTTGCCATTATAAATTTAGACCAAAAAAGTTACCCACAACTACAGTTCTGCCTACTACCACGACAGTCCCTGCTACCTCTAGTAAGTTTTACTGGCTTTATTTTATTTCTTAGAAAAATAAATTATTTCAGGAAAAAAATGTATTAGAAAGTATATTAAAAATTACAGTTTTATGGTTTGTTAGTATTTCAAATGTGGAGGGAATGAATTAAAATAAATATACTCAAGAGAGTATCTTAATATAGAATCACAGATTCATATAATTGTTTTGGTTAGAAAAGACCTTTAAGATCATCAAGTCCAACCATGAACCTAACACTGCCAAGTCCATCACTAAACCACATCCCTAAGCACCACACCTACATGTCCTTTAAATACCTCCAGCAATGGAGACTCAACCACTTCCCTGGGCAGCCTGTTCCAGTGCTTGACAACCCTTTCAGTGAAGAAGCTTTTCCTAATATCCAATCTAAACCCCCCCGGCACAACTTGAGGCCATTTCCTCTTTGTCCCATCACTTGTTACTTTGGAGAAGAGATTGACACCCACCTCTCTACACCCTCCTTTCAGGTTGTTGTAGAGAGCAGTAAGATCACCCCTCAGCCTCCTTTTCTCCAGACTGAACAACCCCATCTCCCTCAGCCACCCTCAAGCCTCCTAAGACTTGTTCTCTAGACCCTTCACCAGCTTCGTTGCCCTTCTCTGGACACACTCCAGCACCTCCATGTCTTTCTCGCAGTGAGGAGCCCAAAACTGAAAACAGCACTTGAGGTGTGAGTCAACACTCCCACCCAGCCTGGTGTCATCTGCAAACCTTCTGAGGGTGCACTCAATTCCATCATCCAGATCATGGATAAAAATATTAAACAGAGCTGGCCCCAATACTGAGCCTTTGGGAACACCACTTGTGACTGGCTACCCACCACCTGGGTATACTCAAGGGAGAAAAAGCTTAATGTTATTTAATGGCAATCTATGCAGGCGAGAGTTCCACAGAAGAATGGAGAGGCAAAATCCTTTTGCATAAGAAGTTCTAAATAGTTTAGGAAGTAGTTTTATTTAAAGGAACTCTTTCCTCTATACAAGTTAATATATAAAAATCTGACCATATTTTTCTTTGTATAGTTATTAAGATCAAGCAAAATTGGTATGGAAGCCACCTGTCGACATCCTGTCAATATGACACTCTTCTAGAATTACTTTTATTTAAATAAATTCAGGGATTTGATCTTGTACAGATATATGTCACACTAAAAATAATTTTCCTTTTATAACTAACACTAGACAGCGTATATGAAAGATCAGAGGAGGATTTCTTTGAAGGTATTGCCAAAACTGCCTCATTACTGAGAAACTGAGAAATTCTTACAATTTCTATAACCAGAATGTGAGAGATTTAAGATACAGTTATAGCAGAAAACCAAATTATTTATGATGTTTTTGCAACACATAACCTGATTTGTACTTAAAACACATCAAAAGTCAGGACAGCAATGGCCTGTCAGCAGAAAACCAAGAAGCTGTGGTGCTTAAATACTGATAATGAAAGATATTTTAAACAGATGAAAATAAACATTATTAAAATGAAATCATAATGACCTGTAAATCATTCTGATATGACTGCCACTCTAATAATAAATAATTCAGCTGCTCTTCACTGTAAAACACTTCTTAAAGTTTTTAGTTCAAACACTTGGTCTCAACTGATCCAGGCTGTCAGATACCTCACGCTGCATTTGTGTTCAGAGTTTTGCCATTGAGTTTTGTCTGTGACCTGTTTGTGTGTGCACATGCAAAAGAGGTGTACTTTACTAATTAATTACAAATCAATTTTTATGACAACATCAGTGTTAGAAAATAAAAACAATGAAAAGTCATCTGGGAGAGGACAACAGAGGGAAAATGTTCAAAAGGACTTCTCAGGCAGTCCAAAATAAGTCCTTCCAATGTCTGATCAGTGTGCATGGTGTTGGCATTTCTGACCTTAAAAACAAACCACAGCACGCCAAACTTCTACAGTTTAGCTGAATTTCTGATCAATCACTTGCATTCAGAAGTGTCCAGTTCAAATAGACTTAGCTTATTACCTTGCAAATCAGGGCTGTTCAGACTTGCGTGGAACTCCAGGCGTTAATAAAATATTTAACTTTAGTAGGCACTTTCAAGAATTACCTGTCTCTATCTTACATAAAAATATTAGTAGTTGAAGAAATAAATGCTATACAATACATTAATAGAAGTAATGAAGGTTAATCCAGTACATATGGTTAAGTAATTGATTTTCATATTTCATTGGATCAAGTCCTGCATTTGTCTGTCAGTATGGCTACATGTAAAATGATAGGCAACTAAACTTTTAATTCAGTTTTTCTGCAATTTGTATTTTGCTAAAATACCTTAATAGTCCATATAAACAATAGGCAGCCTGTACTGACAAATCATAGCAAAATTAGTCACCAACCAAAATTTACTAAACTCCAAAGTAAAAGTTGAAATGTTAGCATGAAAAACCCCTGAGAAGACCAAACAGGAATATTTTGTAATGCATAATCCCAGTTTTAAATTTAGAAAAATCAGAGCACCTCAGAACATTTTTGGCAGCTACCATTATTGGCATGCACCTGTAACTCATCTACCTGCTACATTTCTTATCTTCCTACTACAGACACTGAACTGAAAGACTCAAGGAACATTAAATTATTGGTTTTTGTTGTGCTGCAGGTTGCACTGAGATAGGAGGTACTTGCCTGACCTAGCAACTGACCCTGTGAGACAGTAAAACTAATTAAATGGCATGGCACCCTGCCAAGTGCTAACTGGAATTTGAAACAGTATTTTGAAAAATTATCATGTAGTTTAAAGTTCTAGGAGCTGAATATAGTGTATTATTTCTACATTGTATTCTACATAGAATTCACTTTATTAATAATATTTTTAATTATATGCTGAGTTGTTTTTAGAAATACACACTGGTAGGAAAGAACTATGCAGACAGATCAAGGCAGCAGAAGTGATGGCAGTCAAGAGTTTCATTCCCATGACCATGTAGATCTGACTGTAGGACTGAGGCCACATCATGTAAAATATGACTGGATATGCCTCCATAGACATAGTAACTTGCTCTTCAGAACACTTTTCCTTGTAGGAGGCATTTAACTTTCTAAAGAGTATAACTGAATACCAATCGTGTGAAGACTGAAAAAAGAAAAACCAAAACAGAAAAACCAACCAACCCCAAATCAATGAATAATATGGGGTCCAATTTTTAAGCATTGGGTTTGAAAGGCAAAACAATGGAGTATGCACATGTTCTAAAAGTCATGGGTGTAACACTGAAGACAAAGTAATTTTAATGCCATTCAGTTGAATCTCAGAAACTTGCAAAATTATAAAAAGAATCAATTCATTGAAATAAAAGTAAAAGTATAAATTACTGACCAGAAAATTAGTCAGAAGTTCTTTTTCAGAAAGTAGTATAGGCAGAAAAAAACTTCTGCAAAATGCTCCATTCTAAAGAAAGTAAAAAACCACAAAGATTTTCTTCATAACTAATTTTGTTTTTTCCTGGAAATTAGGATTATGTAGGGGTTTGGGTTTTTTTTAAAATCAGCTCCATGTTTCCAATAATTATGATGTCACTGACCAATTCAAAACAAATTTGAACAGGACATAAAAGCCTTAAAAATACTGCATCCTGACACATTACATAGAGAGGGTTAGCTGAGTAAAGTACAGAGACTGTTAACATCCACCCAAGGAGGAAAGAAACACCAAGTGTATTCAGTTGTTTATAAACATTCTGTTTCAGAAAGGAAATGTCAACCCCTAATATTAAACAGATCTTTCACATAGTATGTTTGACACTTCAAAACGTCATCAGCAAAAATTACACAGTACTACATGTCACGAAGCTATGTGAAAAATTTAGGAAAAAGAAGTCAGAAATGTGAACTCTGATCTCTTCCCTCACAGTACAGTAATTTCAGATAAAAGGCCATCCCCTCCCTCTGAGGTGTTAATGTAATATAATGTTATCATACTTCAGGTGTACTACTAGGGTGGTATAGCAGCAGGCAACGACATGAGATAAGTAACATATTTAAGATCACACTGCAATCAAATGTTAAGTTTTCTGTAACATCCCATTCTGTACGGTCACTAGAACAGAAACGTAGCTGAGACACACGTGAAAAAATGATGATGGAGGTGATGGTGGAGGAAAGGAATATTGTTAATGTGGTGTTCATCCCTTGCAATACCAGACCTAGTTAACGTATACATCACATGAGGATTATTTGTCTTTTTCTTTTTCTTTTTTTTTTTTTTTTTAAACATACTGCTTTGCATTTGTATCAAATACCTCATTTCAGTTTCCTTTTTGCTCTTCAAAAAGTTGTGAAACCAACAGTTGCCCTGTGCCAGCAGAAGTGTAAGAGGAGCGGGACTCTCGAAAGCAATTATTGTTCAAGCAACTTCGGTAAGGAAGCAAAGTTTGTTTCTTTTTAATTATTCACTTGGCACTGTGTTTTTAGACTCACGGGAATTTTACCAGATGTAGTTCTGAGTTAATCATTAATACATAGGCTATATTTTTACACCATCTTATGTGTGTATCTGATATTAGTATCTGTGTTTCACTCAATGCATTCTTGGAGATATTCTGAAATAGGCACTGCACATATGTCTGAAACAAACATACTTTCTCAATCTCAGAAGCCAATTACAATGTAAGACAACCTCCTACAGAAAGTATTGAGTCAGTTACTGGCTTGTCATCTCACTTGGCTGTACCCAGCCAATACACATTTTATGCTGTACCTGCCGACTGTTCCACAGTTGAGTTTATAGACTTGCAAAGTATCTTTGAAAGAATTTAGAAGGCTTGGTAGCTTACAAACCCCGCTCTCCCTGCACAGACAACTCATTCAGGAAGAACAGCGTCTGCCATAGATTTGGATGGCATTGTCACTGCTGATTTATTCAGTTCTGTCTCAGAGCATTTTCCCATATTAATATTGGAAGCTTTTTTATTGGACAGCTTTCCCTCCCTACCAGCACTTTTTGGTTATATGTTTGTTTCAATTTAACTCTCTCTAACTTTATAGCTAATACATTGAGGTTTGAGGAAACCTGCTGTTTCAGGAATGGGGGGGG